GACTCCAGGTGATTTATTAATAAAATCTCATCCTTATCTCAATAATACAAGAAGCAGTCATTTGGATGTTTACTTGTCTATTACATAAAACCTAATATGCACACCTTGACTATCAGCAGTCAAATTTGGATTATCCACAAACAGATGTTAATTTGCTTTCAGATTCTTGGGGGCAGCAATGCTCGGTTTCCTGAACTGAGCCTTTACTGATGTGGTGTCAGCATCACTGTTGTCATTTACTCTGACCAGTGCCTGTATCCTGTAGTCCTTGAACAATGAACATGTACAAACAATGAAGATGTCTGAGTATTAGCTGAAAAGTTGGAGGTTTAAATCCACCCATAGTCTTCTTGGAAGAAGGGCTTGATTTGCTTCCAAAAAACTATCTACTGAAAATCTTTGGAGCACCATTCTCCTGTGACACACATAGCCTCACCATGAATCAAAGTTGACTCGACAAAAATGGAAATATTTCTCCTGCAGGAGATAAAAAGAAATAAGTTGAAACTTGAAACACCTATTAGTCTCCTTAATCATAAGAGAAGTGTAAATCAAAATCAACAAGTTCTTAGAATAAGAAGAGAGAGAATGTGGAACTGAGTGGACAGACCATTGACCTCCAAATTCCAAGTCAAGGTCCCATTTATACAAGGTGGTATTATTCAATAATATCTGTGATTTCTCCTGTAACTCGCCCTGTGGGCAAATGATCTGCCTTAGAGGATTGAAAAAGGATAGACAACACAAACCCAATCTTTATCTACTCAAAGAGTTAAATACAAGAGAGTAAGCCCAACCCCTGCAACTTAAGAGCACTTGAAAATTCAAGTAGAATTACACAAAGAAATTATGTAAATGCTGAAGCAAAGGGGAAAGGAGAACTCAAAAATGGAGAGAATTCCCCAAAAGCTGTTTTCAACTTGCATTAGAAAAGGTCAAGACTATGCTGCTGAAAACATTATCTTATCAACTGTGGAATTAACTCCTTCAGCTCTAGGTCCTAGCACCAAAGTCATCTGCCATAGCCATCCCTCTGCCACAGTGAAACCTGGATGTAAGTAAGAGCCCTTTCCACCAGGCCATTCCTAAGGAGCCAGCCTACCCTGGTTACTCTCCTTTAAGAGGCAGCAGTAATTCCTCCCAGTCACTAGAGAGCTAACAACGTACAGAGACCATGGTTCTAACTTTACAGCAAGTGGTTGTTAGGAGCTCTCCAGTCAACTAAACCCATAACAACCAATGACCATCAGATCGAACCCTGCCCTGTGCTGCGTCATCCTCGCTATCTCAGACTCGCTCATGCCCATTATTATGGACACTGGGTCAGCCCAGCTCATTGAGGATCTTCCTCTTTTATTAATGACCCCCTCCCTTCCCCACATGATGTCTTTATCCAAGAACTGGTCGTTCCTAATAACATCCAAAGTAAAGTAAGAGATGAAATTTCACCCCCACCCCCACCTTGCCTCTAAAAAGCACACTTGTTGCATTTACTCTGAGACAGATTTGTTTGTTGCAGTCTTCTCCAAAACCCTATAGTCAGAACAAAGGTCAATAGACATTAATTAGAATCTTATGTCTTAGGCACCACAAAAGATAATAGGTCACTATCTGAATGTTAGTCTTGAGACCAGTGAACTGCGTGCCTTGGAAAGTTGGTCTTGTTCTTGCTCCCCTTGGAGTCCATTTAGAAACCCCTTGACTTCTCACACTGAAAGCTTGGATCCAGCTCAACTTCTAAGACTGACTATACTTCGCTCCCTTAGCACTAGATGCTGGGCTTCCTTGAGGCTTAGCCTGGGTGTGTTCTCTCTCTCTCTCTCTCCCCCCACTCCCTCAAAGATTCATGAGTTCCCATGGCTATAAAACCCATTTCAACCATCCACATGATGATGTTGTACAAACATGAACCTCCAACACTCTCTTCGGAATCCACATGGACAACTCCAGTTTCATTTTTGACATCTCCATCCAGTTCCCTCCTGTCAATCTGGTTTATACACAGACTTAACAGGGATGAAAAGGAAGGGAGAGGGAGGCAAAAATAATAGATGAGTCAAGTGAAGGGAAAGATAATATACAATAAGAATGTGATTAAACTTTGTCATTAATCAATTTTTTAAATTTTTTATTTTATGTGTGTATGTGTGTGTGTTTGTGTGTGTGTGTACTGTCAAATCAGATCTGACTGGTACAGGAGGAGATTGTTCCTCCTTCTCCAGCAGAGCATCTGGTGGATTTGAACCGTGCACCTCTGGGATTGCAGTACCCCTTCTTGCCAGTGGGCCACCAGAGCTCGCCATCATTAATCAATTTTAATGGTTGTTCTAAAACAAAATGTCTATGAATGACAATGATTTGCAAACATTTGCTCAGATAAAATAATGGGAGGGAAGGGGAAGGCAGAATTCCTGAGATTCCTCTCCAAGTACATCAATACTTTTCTGTCCACCTTTCTGAGAGATGAAATAGCCTCGCCAGCCATCCAGTTGCTCACAATGCTATCTGAGCTTCTTAATAGAAGCTTCCCCTCCCCTACTCACTGTGCCATATCCAATCCATCAACAAATCCTACCTTTTCTCTGATGGCTGGGTGGTAAGGAGTTGCATTGCCAGCCCAAAAGCATGCAGTGCAAATCCATTGAAGTTGTTAACAATTACAGTTTGCTCAGTTCCACACTCTTGGCACCAGCAGTCAGGAAATCACAAGACAAATTGCACTGGGAAAATCTACTGTCAGGGACCTCTCCAGAGTACTGAGAAGCGACGATGTCAGTCTAGAGACTGAGGTGTGCCTGATATAGGCCAGGGTCTTCACAGTTACTTGCTATGCATCAGAGAACTGAACAATGATTAAGGATGACAGAAGAAGTGATGTCTCCAAGTTGTGGTGCTAGAGAAGAGTCTTGCACATACCATGGACCACCAAAAAACCCAAACAGTTCCGTCTTGGATAGGGTGAAACCAAGTTTCTCCTTGGAGACTAGAATTTTGAAGGTACATCTCACATAGTTTGGGCACATGGCCAGGAGAGACCGGTCCTTGGAAAAAGACATCATGCTTGGAAAGGTGGATGGACAGCACAGGTGAGGAAGACCCCAGATGAGATGGATTGATACAGTAACTGGGGCAATGAGGGTTGATGTGTCAGAATCAGTGAGACTGGTTCAGGACAGGAGAAGCTCTATGAGTCACAGGTAACTCGATGGCACATAACAACAACATGAGTTTTGTCAGCCTCCCTTACTAGAATGAAAAGAGGCAACATCTAATTATTGCTCACAAATGCATCTCCTATAGTTGATTAGTTTGACATAGAGAAAATACTTAAATGATGATTAAATGAAGGAAGGAAATAATTTTTTGACACTTTGATCTAGATTTAAACAGCTCATTCTCATAAAGCTGACTTCTAAGCTGGATCAAGAATTGAGTCACTTTGCCAATCTCTTCTACTTTTCCTCTAAAGAAGGATGACAACTGGAAAAGAGAAATTCCTGCCCAAAAATGTGAAGCAACTGCTACTAAATTTCAAAGGAGCCTTTGATGGTCACTGTAGAACTGGCAATTGTATTGCTTGGCCAAGTATACACATGACATTTCTTACTGAACCTATTTGATTTTCAGTCCCTGTTTTAGTTTGTGCAACTAATTATTGTTCCTCATCTCTGAAATAAACTTTACTTGGGTCTAGGATGTAAATAGTGCTTCCCTATCCTGACATGACTACCTTAGTTCCATACGTGTTCTTGGTGCCTGGGCAGCGGGACATGCAGTCTCAGAGAGGTGTGGAGAAGAGAATATGCTCTGGACTCAGAATATCAGGTGCATCTCCAACTCAGGTCATCACAGATTATCTCACCTTAAGCAAGTCACTCCACCCTTCTGAATCTCCTTAGATTCCTTGAGCCAGTTCTTTGAGCCAAGACCTTCTGGACAACTCTGCATAGCCAGTTGGCTCTCAAACCTGGAAGCCCAGAGCTCACTCAGACAATGCTTTTGTGGCCTATTTTCTGAGGGACATTAGTTATTTATCAGGAGATAGACCTGTGAGAAGTGTAGGTAACTAACAGGTTTCCTTTGTTAAGGGACTTCTCAGAACCTTTGATAAGATCTTCAAGAAGAGATGATTTTTATGGGCATAGAACCCTTCCAATGATGGATTGGTGAGCTGAGAGTGAGACTTGGAAATGCCTTCCAGGATGTGTGTGTGTGTCTCTGGGTTCTAGCAGCTCACAATTTCCCTTGATGCACCTTGTTAGGAAAAAGATATCAAGAAATGAGCATGAGTGGGGTCTGATACCTAGAGAGAAGGATGTCTCTGTCCCCCAATCTGTAAGCAATTCAAAGCCCTCTTCAGTTTCCCCAAATGAGTTGGAGGTGGATGCTTGCACAATCCAGTCTTCCCAAAAAAAACATAAGAGACCACTAAGACTCCTGGAGCATGTCCCTGTCCTCAAGTCTCAAAGAACAGAGGGACAACCAAATCTTGCCCCTTTAGGTGTCAGACAATGGACAATGAGGACTGATTGCCTTGGCTGTCATGGCTGGTGGACCACTCAGCTCTCTGGGAGAGGTGGCAATCAGGGAGTGGACAAAGAAGCTAGTCCAGTAGGGGCAAAGATGAAGTAAGAAAACACAAGACCTGGGGTGAAATGCAATGCATTTTATTGGTGAAAGAACAAGAGGGTAGAGAGGACTGAATTTTATATACATCAGAACTCCTGTGACCACCCAACCCAGGGAGGGGGGACCAGGAGCAAGGGAAATCAACAGAGGGTCCCCAACAATCACAGGCGCAAGCAGAAGCCAGAGAGAGGGGAGCCTGAAATTCCCCTGACTGGGCATGGCTGGGAACTGGATGGAGGAACAAGAAGGCCTCAGTCTTCTGGCCCAAAGAACCATTTCCCTTGGGGTCAAGGAAAGCGTCAAGGGTGCTGAAGGTGTGACTGATAAGGAGAAGAGCATGGACAGGGAGGGAAGGTGTGGGGTCGGGTCGTTTATCTGGAGGAGCGCTGGGAGGAGGAGGAGAACTTGACGTTGCTGCCTCTGCTGCTGCCTGAGCTGAAGCCTCCACCACTGACCCCGGAGCCAGAGCCGAAGCCACTGCTGCTGCTGCCTCCACCGAAGCCACTGCTGCCCCCAAATCCACTGCTGCCTCCGAATCCACTGCCGCCCCCAAATCCACTGCCACCCCCGAATCCACTGCTGCCTCCGCGGCCGAAGCCGCTGCCTGCGCCACCTCCCACGCCGAAGCCACCGCCGTAGCCGCCTCCATAGCCACCAGCTGAGGCCGAAGTCGTGTTGCTGCTGCTGACCACAGCTGTAGAAGAGAAAGGACAATATCTGGGTGAGGCAGTGTCACGATCGTTGTTCTATAATCAATTAATAACCCACAGTGCCCGGATAATTGGAAGCTGATCAAGGCATCTTTGTACCAATCAATAACCACTGTAAGCCATTCTAAGGTCATCAATTGTTCTCTTCCATTGGTATAAGTATAAGTCAGTATGAATTATCCAATACGATCAACTCTTGGGGTCTGCTCAGCCTGAACGTCTCCTGTCATTGACAGAATCCCTAGTGGAGGCCATATGTTGATCTATTAACAGTAGTGCTTAGAACAGTGACAAACGCCACTCTGCTGCCCTGACCCAACCAGAAACCCCCTGCTGCTCCCTTAGAGATAATTGCTTCGGTTACTTACAGATGCTCACTGCACTCTGACACTCCCCAGACATCCTGATTGAGAAAGCAAGAGAAAAATGGTACTCAGTCCCGAGGTTCATGAATCAAGGTGATTAATAGCATCCAGAACTGAATTCCAAAGCCCAGCAGGTTAGTGCCCTTTCTCCACTCTTCTCTGAGCATTAACATAGAGACCTTGTGAATGCTGGTTGCAGATGCACTTTGATTCTCTAGAGAAGGAATGGACTGATAAAGGGAAGTATCTCTCTGCAAAACCTGTGCAAGGCAGGGGCCTCCCTCTACACAGCAGCTCTCTACCCCCATTTCCTTCATCGCTTATCTGGCCCCTGGAATTTGACTTTAGGCCAGGAATATGTGAAGATAGGATTGGAGGCCCACCTGCACTCCTCGCCCTCCAGCAGCTTCCTGTAGGTGGCGATCTCCACGTCCAGGGCCAGTTTGACATTCATGAGCTCCTGGTAGTCTCTCAGCAGCCGGGCCAGGTCATCCTTGGCCTGCTGCAGTGCAGCCTGCAAGTCCTGGAGCTTGGCATTGGCATCCTTGAGGGCCATCTCCCCACGCTGCTCGGCTTCTGCGATGGCTGCCTGGAGGTTAGCATTCTAGAGAGAGATAGGGAAAGGAATGAGCAGGTTAAAGACTCCCAGGGCCTGGGTCCTAGAATAGACTGTCCCATAACAAGCATCTGAAAGTCCAACAAATTCATCAAATCCAGCTCCATCTATAATCTCCCATGGATTAGCAGATGTTCCACAAGATGATCTCGGAGTTCATTCCAGGCTAAGATTCCCAAGATCCTACTCCCTACCACTCATCAGTTCTCCAGGCACCAGCACCTTTGACCATCCCACCTGCTTCTTGACGTTCTCAATCTCTGCCCGCAGCCTCTGGATCATTCTGTTGAGCTCCATGATCTCGCTCTTGGTGTTCTTCAGGTCATCCCCGTGTCTGCCGGCCGTGGTCTGCAGTTCTCCCAACTAGAGGGCAAAAAGGCAGACAAAGTGTTAAAGCCAACTTTTGTAATTTCATTTTTTGTTCCCAATACCACCCACAAAATCTTGAGGTACCTAGTTAACATCTGCTTAAAAGGGCAATGAGTTGTGTTTCAGCATGGATACCTCTAAAACAACAAGGAAGGGAACACCTGGGTGGTTGTGGGAAAATTCGTTCACACCACAGTCCCAGAGCAAACTTGGGGCCATGACCTAACCTGATTAGAATGGATCTCATGTGATCTGGACAGTGGATCTCAGACATTTTGTAATTCGACAGTCATTAGAGACTTTCTCCAGTGGGTAAAACCAAGAGGGATTCGACCACTGATGTCTCACCCCCCAACAGCCCCACAGAATACAACCTTCCGAGCAGATCCTCTAAGAAGTGGCTCACACATACCTTGGTCTGGTACAGGGCCTCAGCCTCAGCCTTGCTCCTTTGAGCAATATCCTCATACTGAGCCTTGACCTCAGCAATGATGCTGTCCAGGTCCAGGCAGCGGTTGTTGTCCATGGACAGCACCACAGACGTGTCACTGACATGGCTCTGCATCTGGGACAGCTCCTGCCAACACAGAAGGAAGCCATTTACTCTCAGGACCTCTGCAATAGGCATACCAAGGACCGAGAAATCAATAGTCTATTAACAGACTGTTAATCAACAGTCATCTACTGATTCTTAGCTTTGAATGTTAATCTGCCCCACTCTTGCCCCCAACCACTCAGAGTACCCCAAGTCTGCAGCTCATCCTGTGGGACACCCACTAGAGGTCCTTGCCTCTAAGCTCATTCCAGTTGGTCTTGTAGGATCCTAGGTGCCAATATGTCCCAGCCCCAAATCTGAAAACATCTTACTCCCCACTTCTCTCCCTGTTTGCTTCAGATGTAGCAAACTTCCTTACCGCATCATAAATGCTTCGGAGGAAGTTGATCTCATCTATGAGCGCATCAACCTTGGCCTGAAGCTCAACTTTGTTCATGTAAGCAGCATCCACATCCTAAGAGAAAGAAGCATAAAGGTCTTAGTCCACCAGGAACAAAGTGCTACTGTAGCAAGAAACAGGGAAGACTATCCAAGTCGGATCCCTTGGAGAAGCCTTTCTTATCTCTTTGGATGGTATAAGTTAAATCCTACTCAAAAACTAAGGATTAATAAACTGATTCTTTTAGGAACATTTTTAGGCTAAGATTGACTTGAATTATGTTTATTCCTCCACCTGCCTGAAGTTGGAAGCTTCATGGCAGTGGACTAAAAGATTTTTTTTTCATTATTTAGAGAATACTTTATTAGTTTCTGTAATCAAACCCATGTAGATAAGACCTTACATATTTAATACAGTGCGTTACCGGACTAAAAGATTTTGTTAACCTAGCTGAAAGTCTGTGACTCTAAGCCCCCAAAACCTCAAACACGATCCTTACCTTCTTCAGAGTCACAAATTCATTTTCAGCAGCTGTACGTTTATTGATTTCATCCTCGTATCTATAAGAGTATAAATGAAATAGGAGGGTTTTAGGTTTGTTTGTTTGTTTTATTTTTTGGTTTAGTTTTTAGATGGTCATAAATACTATTGTTCTTTGAGATCTTGGACATTCATTTCTTCCATCCTCCTGTAGATAAATGAACACATTCTCGTTGCTATTTTATGATTCTCAGGGTAACTAAGTGGGAGCTCTGGTGGCCTAGTGGTAAGAAGCTGCCCTGCATTCCTAAAGGCACGTGATTTGAATGCCCTACTGCTCTGCAGGAAAAGGATGGGCAGTCAGTCTCCTCCTGTGCAATTCACTGCCTCGGAAAACCTGCTGGAGGGTCAGCTATGGCTTGGTACTGACTCCATGACACACAACAACCAACTATTATGAAACAAGACAGACCATCCTTGTCTTGTAAATGTCCTGTATCATGGGAAATCCTTCAGTACTAAGTAAATCATATGATCAGGTCCTTTTGAAGATCCCAGGTCTTTCAAATTCTAGAACTAAGATTGTGCCCCCACTTCTACATTCGTTAACCTACAACAATTTTTTAAGGGGTTGTGCTTGGGAAAAGGGAAGGAGTAAAACATAATGATCAAGCCATCCTTCATAAAGACGAGGAGGAAATTAAAGTCAGCAACACTCTTGCCCCGCAGTCAGCACGAAGGCTGTGAAAACTCAGACAGTGAGACAGGGTGACCTGTTGGCATCTTCCCACTCCCACCCCGTCACTCACTTCTTCTTGAAGTCTTCCACCATGTCCTGCATGCTTCTCAGCTCTGAGTCTAAGCGGCCTCTCTCCCCAAGGATCTTGTCCAGGTAGCTCCGAAGGGAGCTGATGTAGGACTCAAACATGGGCTCGAGGTTGTTGGTGCCTGTGATGGAATTTGTGCCCTGCTGCTGGAGGAGGTTCCATTTGGTCTCCAAGACCTTGTTCTGTTGCTCCAGGAAACGCACCTTCAATACATTGAAAGAAGTGACATCAATCTATGCTTGTGACAGAGGAGAGGAAGGTAGAGTTGGTTGTCTATATATCTCCTGGTCCTGCACACAAATGCATGCTCTAGAAAAGATAGGGAGTCAGAATCTTAGTATAGTTGGAGAGATTGTGGTCGGATGGTTGCATCAGTTAAGATACTAAAGGTGCTTTGTGGTTTGGAAAGTTGCAAAGGGAGGCACAAGGGGAACTGGAAGTAGTCCCTGCCTGAAAGCAGGGAATTATAAAAATGACCCTTTTGTTCTGGTGGACTTCATGACTTGGTCCCAGCTTTCAAGAGTTCTGTGTACTCCACTCAAAGGTACATGAACATCAACAGTGTCATATCCATCTAAGGTTTCACTCTAGCCCTTCAGAAGACATGGATCACTAGAAACTGATAGTAATTGGAAAGCCATTGTCAGTATGAGTCTTGATCCTCAATGGAGACAGCCCTGTGTCCTATGCTTGCCTGGGGAAGGTTGCCAAATATGCATCTTTTCCTGAAGAAGTTGGCAAAGTAAGTTGCCAGCTTCTCCATAGCCCCTTGGAAGTGAGGTTCTACTTAAGCCTCTTTAATCCCTTCTGCAGGGCATCAGCTTCCTTTGCCTGGCACTGCAACACACTAGGAGGAAGGGTCACCTGAAAAGTCACAGAGAAGAGCTCTAGTTTGAAAAGTTCAACACAAACTTTTCTAGGTTATACCCTCTCCTACCAGTGAGGATGGCCCTTATGTCCCTGATTTCAGAAATGTGAGCTGTCCCAGCCTAGATCTGGATAAAGTAATAGAGGAAATACACAAGCAGACATTCAGACACTCAGGAGTCACAAATGCTCTAACCCAAATAAGATACCACTGTCTTTCCCCCTGCACCCCAGACAAACTCACCAGCCCTGAATATCTCCAATACCCCAAAGTTCTTCCTAATCCCTCCCTCTCCAGCCTGGCCCCTAAATATTATATCGAACTGCCACACTCAAAGTCACAACCTAGACACGCTATCCAGTCAGAACTTTCATTACCTTGTCAATGAAGGAGGCAAACTTGTTGTTGAGAGTCTTGATCTGCTCCCGCTCCTGGCTCTTTACTTGACCAATCTGAGGGTCGATTTCCACGTTGAGGGGCTGCAGGAGGCTCTGGTTGACAGTCACTTCTTGGATTCCTCCAGGGAAGCCACCAGGGCCAAAGCCACCAGGACCGCCAAAGCCACCAAGGCCACCAAAGCCACCAAGGCCTCCAAAACCACCAGCTCCTCCAAAACCACCAGCTCCTCCAAAGCCACCTCCTACTCCTCTGCCACCCCCAAAGCCACCTCCGTAGCCACCACCAAAACCACCTCCATAGCCACCCCCAAAGCCACCTCCAAACCCTCCTCCACACACGCTACGTCCTCCACCAAAGCCACCAGCCCGGGAGCCGCCACCTGCCACACTGATGGAGATGCTCTTGTTGCCACCCAGGTTGTAGAGGCTGCGGCTGCCAAAGCCACCAGCTCCACCACGGAACCCACAGGCCCCTCCGCTGGCTCCCCCCGAGCGGGCCACACAGCTCATTCTGCTGCTGCCGGAGACCACAGCAGAGCGGCCAGAGAAACCCTGGCTCCCGCCACCAGAAGTCTTGCCAACTTGTCTGTTCATGGTGAAAAGACTTCCTGGAGAGAGAAGTGTGCAAGTTAAGCAGGGACACAGAGCCCTGAAGAAAGACTGAAGGGAACTAAAGATCTCTGCAGAACAAATCCCTTTATATACATCTGAAGAGGCTGATGGGCTCAAACGAAGGAGAGATAATTAATCCCAAATACTCATGGGCTGGGTTTGCCTCCAAGGCAATAGTTTATTCCAGGCTACCAAACACACCTTGCAAATAATCTGAATTGGTAAAAGTGCTAAGGTGGCAGGCTTACCTGCCGGGGTGGTGCCTGGCATTGCCCCATGCTTGGGCATGGCCACCTCCTAGGTTTGTCTCACAGGGCCCAGAAGCTCGCTCATCAGCGTCAGGTGCTCAGCAGCTGTCTGTCTGCCTGTCAGTTGTCCCAAGGCCCTCCCAGAACTAGAAGGTGGGGTGACAAAAGTTCCGGCTCTCTGAGTGGTGGAGATAGTGAAGTCCCCTAAAGATTTGAGGATGGTATGTCAATTAACACCACAAGTACTAGAAGAACTGAAACACCTCATTCCACTGTCAGCGCTTGGTTGTAAAATACCATATGCCCAGCTCTGTGCTAGGCTTGGGGATAACCTGGGATTTTTCCCACTCCTGAATGCCCAGAGGTATCACAAATATGCCTCCTGAGTTCTCCCTTGAGCCAAAGGGAAGTTAGCACCTAGGCACTTTAATGAGCCATTGGCACAATTCAGCTTGCCAAATGTGTGCTTGTTTTGAAAAAGCTGAGAAACCATGCAGAAACACATCTTTGGGCTTCTCTAAGGCTTCTTTTTTTGCCCACTGCATTTTGGCATTTCTCTGGTTTCAGCCCAAGTCCCAGGGAACAGGAAACTCAAACAATAATCCAATAACAGATTCAACAAATAATTAAAGATGACCTAATGCATGCCTCATAGAGCCCAGCCTCTTGGATAATCTGCTCTGCATACAGATTGAAAAGGTATGGAGATAGGACACATCCCTGGCGTACACCCTTCCCAATTTTGAACCATGCAGTGTTACCCTGCTCTGTTCTGATGACTGTCTCTTGG